TGAACCCATAAACACTTCCTATTGGAGATACAGTGCCATAATCTCTGATTTAATACTTATACTGATTTCTAAAAAACGATACCCATGCAGCTTGAGAATTGCCCCCATGCTCACTCTTCATCTGTGCCTTTCATAGACTGCCCTAGCATTCTACAATGTTAACTGCCTTTGAATGCTTTTGTATGTAATGCAATGAATAGGTTTCATGGTCATGGTCCCACTCCTGTACATCCTTTGCTGTAAAATGGGTCTTCTGAATGGATGAAATGTAGATCAAACATCACAGAAAACCTGATAATGTTGCTGGCTGGGGCTCTGTCTGCACTGATGTAAGACACTCATAGTCAGAATAAGTGTTTATATGTGAGAGTTACTGATGGGTCTTCAGGATCCAAGAAGTTTACTGTAATTGACTTGCCATCAAATGGCTGATTGGATTAGTCTAGCTATATTTTTTGTTCAAGTATATCAAAATCGGAGGGAAATAAGTATAATAATTTTACAAACTCCAGAGAAACAAGAAAGATTAAAGGTGACCCAGAGGATAAGATTAAAACGATCATGTCTCTGATATAATACCAACGTTCCCCAAAGTTCAGGGTTTTTAGTTTAATTCTTACATTTAAACATGTTGCTATGGAAGGTTTTGTGATTGCTCTTAGTTTTTCCATGGAATCATAATGGTGGAGGACGTTCTTACATTACCCTGTTGTTTGACGTTTCTCTATTTGTGAAGTGTTGCATATTAATTAACTTTTCCACTGTAATCTCATTTTGAAGCACAAGCTCTTTATTGCTCTGGTTTCTTTCCCTACAACTTCATCCCAAATGTAGGTATAGCCCCCTCTTCTTCAGAGCACCAGTAATGCAAGGCTGTGATGTCTAACGGAGCTTTCTGAAGATTTTAAATCAGCATTGCCGCTCTAGTGAAGCCTATTGTCTGATGCTTTTTAGAAACAATTTCACAAGTCTATTTCTTATTCCAGATATATATTTTTACAAAAAGACAAGAAAACTATTTTTCTTCCTAATTGTACAAAAAAATACAAAACTATATCCCCTGCTCCCCTTTATGTAGAACAACTAACACCATTTTCCTTCAACTTTTCTGTCAAGTCTAACCCAGGACTTTGCATTGTTTCTGCTTCAAACCAAAATGGCCTCTCATGTTTTCCTCTAAAAATAGGGTTCTACCTCAAGTTTCCATGGTTAGAGTAATAAAGTGTTAGCAGAAACACCAAAATGATCTTTTTCTCTTTAATTTTTTTATATGCATGTACCAATGATCAATCTTTCATTTTACCATAATAGTTTGTTTAAATAGAGGTGAGGATATAGAAAAGTTTTGCTCCTCATTTTTTTCATGATAAAATGTTACAGATTTTTACTAAAAGTTTATTATTTTATTTACTTTATTTATTTGCGAAAACCGTACAGGCTTTACTAAAAGTGTATTTATGTCTTGCAAATCTCTGGACTTTAATTTTCCCTTTGTCACTGAGTGATTAAAAGACCGATATAGTATAATTTGAGACTTGTAAGAATTTCTGTGAACTATTCTCTGAATTTAAAACTTTCTATGCTTTAAATAGCTTTGACCTATATATAGTATTATATTTTTAGTTAATATGCATTATATCTCATATATTATGTGTTATAAATATTTGACCCACATATAACATAATATTTAGCTAATATATGCATTCTGTGTTATACATAGAACTTTACTTCAGATCTAACTCACATTGCTCCTGAACAAGCAAAAGCCATAATGCATATATTTAGTATATTATTCATATATTTTATTCTATCATTTATCACTAAATATATCTACATATTTCATATGTCATTTGTTGTAAAATATGTATATTAAGTAATGTAAAATACTATATAATGACACAATATAATATAATGTTTGTAAATATGCCAAGTGTATATTATGGCTTTATTCTCTCATGAACATTGTGACTTAAATCTGAGGTAAATATCTTGCCTTCCTTAAAAGAATATAAAATAAATATGACTTTTCTCTCTGTGACTTTCCAGACTTGTGGAAACTGTTTAATGTAAATTTCCTCATCAGTCATAAAACATCTCTGAAACACTTGTCTCTGAAAAAAATGTACAAATAAAGGAATTGGAAAAGATTCCAAGATTCTGATGCAAAATACTTTCAAATATGAAGCCATTATCAAGATAATATACAAGAAACTTAAAAGACTAGAAAAAAATGGTGTTTCAGACTTTGCTTAAGGCAGAGATTCCTGTGGGGCAGATGAAATGAGTGTTTAGATGAACAACCCTGCCTGGCAGAGGGGTAGACATCTTCAATTATAAGATCATCTATAAAGATGGATATGTTGGTGTGGAAAGCAATTGGTCCACCATGGATGAACTTTGGCAGAAAAATGCAGCTTTTTGTGGATGTCCAGGTGCCATTTCCATAATCTGCAACCAACCCCTCCTTATGATTGGGCTATTTTGAGAGTCTATCCATTACTTTTCTCACTCACATAATGCATTACCAAACATGTTAGGATGAAAGAAACTTAAGAAAGAGAATAAAGAAGTTGAAAATACTGAGGAACAGGTGAATGTTTTTGAAGATGAATAAAAACAGAGACAAAAGAAAAATCTGTGTCAAACTTCCATCATTAGGAAATTGTATTTCTTCTATCTTATTACCCTTGTTGTTATTTAAGAAATAATATAGACAATTTTAATTGTTTTAAAATAAATTTTTGTTTGAAAAGTGCATGAAATTCTTATAGTTTCATAGGTATTCATAGAATACCTATGCTTTGTATTATACCTGTTAACACAGCTCACTAGTTCTAACCACATTCTAAGTCAGTTAAAACTAGGAGGAGTCAGCTGGGCATGGTGGCTCATGCCTATAATCCCAGCATTTTGAGAGTCTGAGGCAGGCAGATCACGAGGTCAAGATATTGAGACCGTCCTGCCCAGCAGGGTGAAACCTCGTCTCTACTAAAAATACAAAAATTAGCTGCGCATGGTGGCATGCACCTGTAGTCCCAGCTACTTGGGAAGCTGAGGCAGGAGAATCGCTTGAACCTGGGAGGCGGAGGTCAGAAGGCAGATCCCAGAAAGATCAAGATCAGGTTCCTACAAGCTCAACAGTCTGCATAAACTGACTGCAATTGGAGTTTAAATGGTCAGATGAATCATCCCATTTCCTTATTCACTGGAAGTAACTGAGTATAGAAACAACTAAAAACATAAGATATTATAGTTATTTATATTTCTCTCTCACCCAAATGTACTGTAAATAATCTAAAAACTTCAGTTTATGGGATTACTTAAATGGTTTAAAATTTTTTTCCATTTAAATATTGACATGAATGGTATCTAAATACCCTCTTATCTTTAAATATTTCTACATTTTTCGTAAAACTTTTGCAGTTAAGTCTGTAAACAAATAACTTAAATTTTGTATGAGTCCTCCTACTTCTGTATTTTGCCCTTGCATAATAAAATAAGGTATCAACTTCCAAGGACTCTGATGTAGAATGAATAAGAGGTTGGGAGTAGTGCCTGATAAATAGTGAAGTGTCCATTAAGTAGGCATTATGAACATTTGAGGGCATATTCATCTTGACACATCCTTCTCTTCACTGTTGCTGCAGCAGAAGCATAATGATAGAGAGCAATCAATCAAGTTACTTGCATGTCTGACATGATTGTTGGAAGTGTTACTATACAGCGTTGAACAAAATGACACACAGGAAGCTGACATGTGAACACTTCCTTTCTGGTACACCTTAGCGGATGCTCTCTCCGACTGGGCCAAAGGAGGCTGCAATAATCAGGTCGGTGTGGTCCATGCTGCCCTTAGGATAGAGATTATTTAATTTATGAATAATTAAATCATTTATTAATATTCACAAATATCTATAGAGTAATTACAATATACTACCAAGAGGGGTCCTCTGCCTCCTCACATATCTGTGAAGTGACTAACGAATGAATTAGGTGAGCATTGGGCTTTGAGATTAGATTGCATGTGGATAAATGCCAGGGAACAAATAAACCCCAGTAGAAATTCAGTTTAACTTGTGCCCTAAGAGAAGAGCGATGTTAAACAGGCCTGCAAAGACTTTACATACTGTAATGCTCGACATAATTTTCATTGACACAAAAATCAATCAAGAAGTATATTGACTGGTATTATTAATGCAGAAAAATAACAGACTCATATAATTTTTCTCCATTTTCTTTTTGTCTTAGGTATGTTTTGAGTATGTAGTAGGGCTAGCATCAGTGTGAAAGAAAAACAAAGTTTATAATTCTAACATTTGTTCAATGAATATTTGAAAATAAATTATATTTGAGAAAAAAGTCTAGATTGAACAGATTTCCCGATAATTTGGGTGGGAAAACTTTGTACCCCTTTTATTCTGAGAGAGTTTACTTGACCTCTTAAATTTTTAAACCTTGGATGTGAAATTATGTGTGGCATCTGATTATAACAGACTCTTCTCAAGAGCATTGTAGATGTTAACATGTTCCAAAATTACAGTGCCTCAAGATCTATCAAATGGCAAGGTTTTCTATGCCCTGTTGTTATTTGATTTAAAGTCATTTTCCTTTGGACATATCCAGCTGAAACCAAGCACTCATTTAAAGATAATGTCTGCAACCACTGCTGCTAAAAGTAGGCCTTGAGTAATTCCTCCAGTTTCTTATAGGGAGAAAATTTGCTATATTCTTCTTGATGGAATGGTTCCATATATTTTTCAATCCAAAATAGCTCTCTGTGGTTTCAAGACAGTGGTCACACGCAGAGGTAAATGGTGGAATGTGTATATATCTAGGTAATTATTAAATGGGTTTTTGGGATTTCTTGGTTGAAAAGTATCTTGCTCATGCAGAGAGAGGATGTAGTAGGTCAAAATGAGCTCAGTGTGATAGGCCCACATTTTTGTTGATGTTCCTTTCCTTTTAATGGATTTTCTCCATTATCGAACCATGCCACTACCATGCCGCAGCAAGGAGAAGGTCTGGAAAAGCTGCTTCAAAGCCAGCCTCATCAAAATGGTGAGCAACTAGGACTTTTATTTGTTGTAGATATTCAATATAATGGGCACTTAGAATATGTTTCATAATTATTTGAATAACCATCACGATGTGTAAGGATAGAACCAGATTACTTCAGAGACTCTTTGCCATGAAAAGGAGTCTGATAGGTTCACCATGAGTGGATTTAACTGTGGAGTACTTAGGAGCTGTCCCCGAATCTGCCTTCACAACCTGTGTTGTGAGATAATTCAAGAGGCTTATGCAAGTGACAACGTAGCCATTTCCAAACATAACACAGTATATAGGATCCTAGGTACAACCTTAATTGCATTACTTTCATTTGTAAGATTAGGTAATGAAGAAAAATGCAAGGGAGGATGACATTATACACCTATATAAGTTTTTATATATAGAAAGTTCCTATATTAAAAAACAATTATTTGTGCAATTAGATTTAGGGTGATAAACTCTTCTAGATGACATAGTGCTAATGATATTCTCAGATTATTTTCTACAAAAGACCACAGACGCTAAGTTAAAAGGAAGTTATCTCTATTGCATAGCTGCCCTTTTAAAAAAAATATGTCAATAACTTATTTTAAATACCTTTCCTTTATAATTAATATTATAACTAAAACCTCATGGGTTTTAGAAGCAAAATTTAATTAACTTACTTTAAAGAAAATGAAAAATGTTAAGAACAAATACCATTTGCTTCCATCCTATTTGCCTGTAGCTATCATACCCAGCAATAATGAGCTCTCTTTCAGTGCTCCTATCATCTCTCCTTTCACTTTCCCAAATACTTTCACCAAAACCACCAGAGTCCCTTGTCCTGGCACATGCTCCTCGTTACCACATCTCCCACTTCTCATACCAAGTGCGTGGTCTTGGTATTATAGTTTTCTTCCTTGAAATTGCAAATATAAGTTACTGTACTGCAGTATTTACAATGATAAAATCTTGGCATTCGAGAGAACTTTAAATTGCCTCTAACTCATGGCCAGCTAATTGTACAATCTCACTCTGGCCTCAGTAATGTTAATGATCAGATCCACATGTCCCAGTTTCCATATGCTGAGTTCTGTCATAGTTTGCCTAGCTATATGAGTATTTTCACTAATAGCAATTATAGTAATGAGAGAGTCATAGACTAGACATAATCCATCTGGAGATATTTAAACATTTTAATAGGCCAACTACTGAACAGTAATCAGAAGTATAGTGATAAAGTTGCAAAGTGAAACAATCCTCTTTCTTGCAAATTTTCTTAGATTTTCATGGAGAGATATAGAAAATTTAGAAATAGTCCCAAGGAGAAAACTTAAAGTGACTAAAATATTTGAAAAGAAAAAGAAAATCTGAACCCAGAATACATAGCTCAGCAATGGAATGGTTTTCCATGTAACCAGTTCTTTTACATTGTCATCAAGAATAAAAAAAGAAAATATTAACAAGTAACCTTTAGCTTATTCTGACTTTAAGCTTCCTGACTCATGCTATAAAATTGTTGAATATTTTAACAGAGACAATTCTGTAGTCTACTTCTCTGAAACACACACACACAAACACAAACAAAAATGCTCACTCTTACACACCTCCAAAGGTACCTACGACAGTGTCCATTTTATTTATTTTGATTTTTAACAATTTATTTTAGTAAATAGAGATGGAGCCTTGCTATGTTGCCAAGGTTGGTCCGGGACTCCTAGGCTCAAGCAATTCTCCTGCCTCAGCCTCCCAAAGTGCTGGGACTACGTGAGCCACCATGTCCAGCCAGAAGTGTCTAATTAAGTGATTTTAGTTTGCATTTTCCTTTTTAGCATCTTTTAAAAATAATATTGCATGTAAAAGTCAATACTCTAGGCGATTCTAGACTGATAGTGCTCTACTAACTTGATTTTTAAGGTGTATTTATCATACTAATTCCAAGCAGAATTGAAAATAATTGGTCCTGTTGAAAATTGCTTATTCTTTAAAAGAAAGAAAGTATAAGTTTTTAAAGCATCATATAACATTTCAGTGTAGTAGCAATTTATTAGTAAGAAGTTTTTTCAAATTTGTTATTTAAAAAGCAAACAAAATAATATAACAGCCTGATTTATAATCTGTATTGAAAAGTTCAGCAACCTTTTAATGTTCCCTGTGACTTTATTAATCTTCAATAAATTAAATTCTTCCACTTATCACATGGTTGAGTAAAATAGTGTTTGATTCTCAGACTAATTATAGAAGACACTGCATAACTATCAAAATGATGGACCCCCATGATCACTGTGAGCAATGTCATCACATTGGTCATTTATTGCCAGACCTCAGTGTACTGGGATATCTATCCTATTTTTGTGTTGATTGTTATTTTTGAGAAAGTGCCATTTAAATGAATAGAAAACAAAAATAAATTTAGACAAAGCTCATAGCTTAAATCTGTTTTGTATAGCAATATTATGGCTTAAATAATATACTAACACTTTGACAGTTCAATAACATGCACACATTGCATCTAGACATTATAATCTGCTACAATTGCCACCAGTGGAGGAAAAAAAATTGCATCAGATGCCCCATGACACATCCCTCTTCTACTTCATCAACCAATTTTAGGAGATATACATTTTGGATCCTATTTCTTAAGGTAGAAAGAAAATCTTAATATGGGAAATGATAGAGCAGTAGAGATTTAAATTGGTTTGGACCTGTACTTAAGGTATTTAGGCTATCTTGGCAGCAGATGATGTAATCCTTTAACAAGGAGGATACACAGCTATTGACATGCTAATCAGGAGCTCCAGTGGTTTCAGAGATTGATATTGCTTTGCTAAAGCTATTGTTGATAATAAAATTACCAGAATTGTTGAGTTCTCTGTGCTATGAAAGAAGGGTCAAAGTTTCAATGAAAGTAAGTGAGCTCATTTCATACAGCTTTTGTTAATGTCATCCTGTTCCAAATAATAGGGCAGAAATAAATATTAGAGATAGAACGTCGAGTATTCTGCACACCTGTTGCATTCATATTTGTAACATAAACTGTGTTTTTGTATAGTAAATTGGCCAAATTGTGGTCGCAAAAAGGGGATGCCTCTCCTTTCCAACTAAACGCTAAACATTACCTAAGGAAATCAATCAATTTCAATAAGAAGAATAAAGCTAAGCTAAACAAAATTTATCCAGCCTTATTTAAGATTTTAACATGAAATTGAGGCTTATGTCTGCAAAATCAGTTGGGGTTCACTTCTACCTTACATCCTGCTACTTTGTTAGAAAAATGTTGGCATTTTTACTACTTCTATAGGTAAGAAAAAAGAATGGAAGGCGAAAAGAGAGAAAGACAGGCAGGCTGCAGGAGACATAATTAAAATCACTCTCTAATAAACCATGTTTTTTAAGTGAAAATGTTAGATGTAGACTATGAAATTCAAAAATGGAAAATAAATATTATTTTTCTATTCTCAAGTCTTCTCCATGGTGTGGTAGCAAGGAAGAGTGTAATTGTATTACTGCCAGCAAGCATATAAAATTACTAATTGGAGAAAGAAAAAATTAAATTTGGTAGGGAAATGTTTGTTTATTCTCCCATGCTTTGAGATAAATGATTTCTACCAAAAGTAGTCGATGTTCCTAAGTAAGAGGTAATTCTGAGGGATCAATATGGAAAAAAAATGCCGTGAAGAAATTTTGACTTTCTATCATTACCCTAAAAATGTTTATTTTTAAGTAAACTTTCCTCCTAGTTTAAAAAATTCTTATAATTTTAAATTTAATATGTGTGTAACATGTTGAAAACTACACATATGCACACATACACACACACAGACACACACACACAAACACACATATTATGGCCAAATAATGTAAAATGACCACATACTACTCATCAATCTACATTAAAATAAATAATGATCTAAAAATCAGACTACTTTTCAGAACTCTGCATAGATCATGTAAAACAACATAAAAAATAATACATTGGGGAAAAAAAACCACTAAAAATGACAAATACATATTGCTTCCTTACCAAATAAGCAATCAAAATCCATGGGTTTACTTAGCAACTGTCCTGCTTACAAGGTTCTGCCTCTTGAATTTTGGAGTAAATCTAATCCTCCCTGAAGTTTCCTTTACTGATCCAGCATTATCCCCAACTCATTTCTGCCTGGTGATAGTATTAATTTGTAGAAGTCCAGTTAATTCTATAAAAAACTACACAGTTATGTGCAATCAGAGAGCTCACATATTCTAGTCCAGGTTACTTTTTTCACTCTATGGCATAGGCACCTGGCTGTGCACATCATCTTCACTGAAAGGAATATTAAACAAGAATCCAAGGTAAAAGCACATCCGGTTAAAGAGTTCACAGTATTCCTGGGCCACGGAGAAAAATGTGTTCCTCCTCGTTCCTTTCGTGTGACTTCTGGTGAATCAGCCTCCCTGAACATTAATTTTTTTATCTGCTTTTTTTTTAAAGTTTGTTCCCTGTCCATTTAAAGTTATTTTGAGTATCAATTGAGATGTACATGAAATGCATAAGGTACAAAGTCTTACACAAATGTAAACTCTTCCTGGCACAATTGCTGTCATCATTACTGACCAACGTAAACTTGTTGCCCTAAGCCATTAAATATTCATGGTTGAATGTGACTAAATCACAATGAAAACAATGAATGATTCACAAGACAAGCCCAAAAGACAAATTATAAAAACATAACTTATTTCTAGATGGATATTTCTAGACCTTTAAACATTCCTAATAATATGGCCCAAACTCCTATGGTTCTCTGAAATTAAAAAAAAATAATTTCATTATGTTCTGCATATTATAAAGTGTGATATAAACATAAGAATTCCAACACTGTGAGGTCAGTTTACAAAACAAAATCTCAGAATCCACATGAGCTTATTTTAAGGAATATAAAAGCCAACAAATACTAACGTGCACTGAACAAAGACTTTGGGCCAGGCAGTATTATAAGCATGCTCATTTAAGCCTCATAGTATGCCTATTAGATAGGTAATATTAC